GAAGACAGTCACCAACATCTACATCCTCAATCTGGCAGTGGCAGACGTGCTATTTATGCTTGGTCTGCCATTCATTGCTATTCAGTTGGCTCTGGTTCATTGGCCCTTTGGACCCGTGCTCTGCAGGGTCGTTATGACTGTGGATTCCCTGAACCAGTTCACTTCCATCTTCTGCCTGATGGTGATGAGCATCGACCGTTACTTGGCAGTGGTACATCCTATAAAGTCCACCAAGTGGCGGAAACCGCGCATTGCCAAGACTATTAATTTAGCCGTTTGGGGGGTTTCCCTGCTGGTCAATCTGCCAATTGTTATCTATAGTGGTGTGATTACAAAGCACAATGGTTGCTTCTGCACAATTGTCTGGCCAGAACCTCAAGAGACCTACTACACAGTCTTCATGTTTTACACCTTCATTCTAGGTTTCTTTCTCCCCCTTTTGGTCATTTGTCTCTGCTACCTACTCATCATAATTAAGGTGAAGTCTTCAGGCATCCGAGTAGGCTCTTCCAAAAGGAAGCGATCAGAACGAAGGGTCACTCGAATGGTTTCCATCGTAGTGGCTGTGTTTGTATTTTGTTGGCTGCCTTTCTATGTTTTCAATGTGACCTCTGTGACAGGCAGCATCAGCACCACACCCATCCTGAGGAGCACCTTTGCCTTTGTTGTGGTTCTAGGATACGCAAACAGCTGTGCCAACCCTATCCTCTATGCCTTTCTATCAGAGAACTTTAAGAAGAGTTTCCAGAATGTTCTGTGCCTTAAAAAGGTCGGAGGGCTAGATGAGGTTGAGCGCAGTGACAGCCGGCAGGACAAATCTCGGATGATGAACGATCCAACAGAGACACAGAGTACTTTGCTCAATGGCGACCTGCAGACCAGCATCTAAGAGGAAATCGTAATAGACTTTACCAACCTCTGCAAGGTGTCTCCAAAAAAGGCCCCAGAACTTAGAAGGAAAAGGCAGCATGTCAAAACCACTATTCTTGTGTTTTTGTTGGATTTTTTAGTGATTCCAAAAAATAAATCACAGGTTTATTTAAATGTCATCAGTAGGCTTTAAGCCAAATGTGATTGACAACTGTGATTACTTTATGTAGACCTGAGGGAACATAACAAATCACACCCACTTGCAAATGGTCTCCTGGGTGACGTAAATTTCCCTGGAGACTCAGGATTATATATGTTGTTTACAACATGCCCTGCATTAGATTTCCTACCAGTGTTTGAAACAACACGGGTATAACGAAACTTGCAGTTGTTTTAGCTGGTTGTGATTTTTTTGGGGGAAGTAAAATATTTTTGTAAATAATTGTGTATCTGGACGCAAAGATTGTATATAAAACAGAATCTATGATGTACATATTTCATAAAACTCTCAATTATGTTCAAATATAAATTATCCCTCTGTAGCAGAATGTAATGAGCTTCAACGCTCTTGTGTTTTTCCTTTGAAGTGTGGATATTCTTATTTATTGGAGCAGTTTACTTGTGAGAAATATCTATATAAATGTAGGTAACATTTGGCTCCGTGGCAATAGTGCGTTAAAGTTGTAGCTCCAGTAACCTACAGCACAGTGTTAAACAGGAAAAAATATTCTTGCTGATGTTCATCACTCTAAATGTATGTGGGATAGTGTTTTGCATTACTGCTTATGTATAATTCAATTGATTAATGTACAGTTTGACCATGTAAATTACGTCTCTTTGAAAAAAAAAAAGTTGGATTATGTGACTCTACATTATTCAGTATGAATCCTGGGTTGTTGTGTGTTTGTGTTATGTCAGCACATGAAACCTGTCCATATAATGTTTCATGAATGATGACTGTACTCGTCTTTGCTGTGGACCCATCTGTCAGGAGCTGCTTGAGCTTCAAAGATTGCTGTGCCCTATTTTCTATGTGTTTTCTGCAAAGTCAAAAGAAAAAAAACTCAACTTGCTTTGACCCACTCAAGAAAAAACTTATATAATTTAAATTTCTTGTGCTGTTTGAGAGGGAGCAATTGTTAGTGTAACAACCTCTCTATCACAGGCTGAGTGAGTGATGTGGATTTGTGAAGGGCTAGAACACTTATCCTTAAGAGGTTATAGTGTTCCTTTATCACCACCACTATCGTCTTAGTATTAATTTGCAGCTGAAAACACACATCAACCTCACAACCTGCCTAACTTAACAGTAAAATTGCTTTTCCGCCAGATGTAGGATTTCCATCTCATAGTTTCCAAATAGATGGGTTGTGAACGTATCTGTATCACACCTGTTTTGCTATTATGTGTAACTTATATAGTGAGGATTAAATCTTAAAAGTTATATGTGCATACTTCTTTTGTAAAAGACAATTCATGAGCCTCATAGCAAGAAATGTATAATTTAATTTCAGTATTGTCCAAAAAAGTGAGTTGCTTACTAATGAGAGCTAATAAGCAGATTTACTTACTCCTTTCAAGCGGTGCTGTATAATAAACTATTTTCTACTGCTTTGTACAGCACAAGAAATCACACGATGCCGTTAAAGTATTTTTCAGAGGCTAAACGCTACATTAATCGGTGAATCATAATACACTGTGGCTGAAAAACCAACAGAGCACCAACACCAAAGCAAGATTGTACAACTAAAATAACGTGTTTTAAATGTTTCATTTCAAATGTTCAAATTCCCTAGCCTAAGAAAGAAATTGTATAATTAAATAAAAATGTATATTGAAAAACTTCAGGAATTAACATGGTTCATTTCCAAAAAGAAAGGAAAACCCCATTAAGTGACAGCTGCTGGAACTGGATATAGTCATCAGGGTTTGGAGACTTATTTTAGTTTCCAAACCACGCAAGTTTTATTTACAAGGGGAGTGGTGGTTACGGCATAGAGCTTGGAATCCTGAGGTTGTGAGTTCAAAACCCACTCCCACAGACTGCCACTCTGGTTCTCTGAGCAAGATCCTAACTCCACACTGCTCCCTGGGCACTGCAAATGGTGGTCCACTGCTCCCCGATGGGATGGGTTAAATGCAGAGAGTGAATTTCGTTACTCTGTACATGTAACAGTGTAATGACAATTAAAAGTTCTGGGGGGAAAAAATTCTAACATTCGATGGAAGCCTCAAACAATTATTTTCTAGAAGTTTATGTTTTTTCTTAAAATCTCCTCATCCATACACAAAAAGTTTCCAAATATTACACTAAATATACCTGGTCTGTGTAAGGTAATACTATAAGTGAAATATTCATAATAACGAGGCAGGATAGAGCAAACACCTAAAATTTGCTGGTAGACCTGCTGTATTTTAAGGAATTGGCAGTCAAAATACAAGAAAGAGAATCTTTTTTAGAATTACTACCAGTGGAAAAAAGCAAGAAAAAAAAAACAAAAGAAAATTTGGGATACTTAAAATGAAAAATATGTCACTGATTAAAGCGGTGTAATGACATTGTTTTAAAGTATTATATATTAAAAAATGTTTAAAACAACTTAAATACTTCTAAACAACGATCTTAAGCTCCAGACTTCAACGGCTATTGACTGGTAAATTTTAGTTTTACCTTAACAATCCAGTCCTAAATATTAGCTCATTAGCAGGGCTCTGTAAAGCCTGACTCTCTGCTAGTGAGTCAGTTTAGCTGTTGACTTAAGTGTGTAAAATTACAGGACTCTGACCTTTGAGGATTTGAGTTTGAGACTGATGGCCTGAAGCAAAGAGCTAATGTCTCACACTGGACAGTGACTCCATGCAATCGCTGTCTTGGGTTCAAGGATTAAAAAATACAAAACAATGGTATATTTGTCTGGAAAAGATCCGATGTTTGGAAGTCTTGAGCTACAGACACTGTACGACCCTTTTTAAATCCTGAAGGGGATGCAATGAAGCAAATGTGGAATAAACACATTTTTTGACATATTTATGTGTTTTGAGGTCATATATGTACATGAAGTCTTTTCTGCTGAGAACTATTAAAATGTGTCAATCGTCATTGGGAATGGTTTTATATCACACATACTGTAATTCTAAATGGTTCACATTAGAGAAAACTTTAGCATTGAATTCATTTGTTTTGAACATGAAAAAGGGCTGACTATCCAAATTTTTCTTTTTTTTGCATGTTTTAGTAAGTTACTATAAAACAGGAAAGAAAAGTCAATATTTCTTGCTCCACCGTAGAATCAAATTACATTAAAAAGCTGCAAACATTTCTCCCATAATTTGTGATAACCTTGTTCATTGTGAAACCATGTTTATTGGTAATGACTTTGGCTAACAACACCAGGCATTATGCACATTATGCATGTAAAAGTTGCTAAAGATTTCCAAAAATATATATATATATATCTGTACTAGACATTGTGTGATGGAACGAAGAAAAATGTTTAAGCAAAACTATTAGTCTTTTCTGTTATTAGGTGGTACAAAAAAAGCACAAATTATACATCATAGTAGCATATTTCAATTTAAAATGACATTAGCACATTGTTTTCTAACAGTGCTAATGAAAATATACCTTACTTTATCTTTAAAGATGCATTATGTAGCCAAATGTATTTGTTCTGCTCAGTCTGGTTATGGAAACTGTTTCTGTATCAAGTTTGTATATCTGTGATTTGATTTTGTCCCAAAAGCTCTGCTTATTTGAAATAAAAAAAAAAAGCTTGATAAGCCAAGACTGCTAACAGCTTTGTTCACTAATAGAACTGGTAGTTTTACCGTTATAAAATCAAAATGTGAAAGAGAAAATAACTTATGAACATGCTTAACATAAGTTATGACCTCCAAACTAATGCCTTTGTTTTCCTTAGAAATATGCAACATTTTAGAATAAAAAGAGAAAAATACCTGTCTATAAGGCATAAGTGAATTTTTAAAGCCAGAAATGTGAATTCATTTCCTTTACGCTGCATTTTGCTTCTATATGCGACCACAGGGTGGAGCCATACCCTTGCGAGTGAAAGGTGCCCAAAGAGCAGAAACAAAATGGTTGAATTCGACATTTACAAAGCTGCAGCTCACAGTATATATGCTTTTTATTATTTTTGCCTTGCTATAATAATGACTGAAGTAGAATACAGAAACTGTACACCTGACAATAGAAAACTATAAAGATTTGGCTCAGATGTACTACAGTGCATCGTCTAGTATTTTCAGAAAAAAAAAAAAAAAAGCACACCAAATGCACATTCCAGTTTTGTTCTGAGTTTAATCACTGAAACAGACAATGAAGCTCTAATTTTTTGTTTCAGCTGTTTCCCTGAATGCCTTCGGATGGTCTGAACTGGACCACAATGCATCGAAACCATGATCATTACACATTATGTGTAGAACTTTACTTTCCATAAACCATTATATTCCTCTAGCCAAAAAAAAAAAAAAAAAGAGATATGTTTGAATTTAATTACAGAGCAGAAAAACATAAGAATCTTTTCTTTTTTTTTTTACAATTCAGGTAAATGGCCTCATATGTCTTTTCTCACATGAGGGAATATTTTTATACAAACACTTTCAGTTACCCTGACAGGAATTATGTGCATTATCTAGAGTCTGACTGAACGTGTATTTTGCTGATCTGCAGAGGGAAACGACACCACAAAGCACAGTGGTCCGTACCAGCCAATGAAGAAGTTTAACACTGATGGAATCAGAGCCAGGCTGTGGTCAAATGGCCCCCATATCTGTGCAAAGTGTTAGTTAAACTTACACATCCCATTCTGTGAATTATTCCTTGAGAGCAATCTCTAAACCGCATCTAAAGGCATTTTTTTTTTTTTAAACACGTGATCACAAAAAGCCTGGTTGCATGCAGCATGTTAATTTATGTAGGGTATTTTCTTTTGCACAAAGGTTCAGATTTTAAGTTCACATATCAAGTCCTTGTCAGAATGCCACATGTATGCTCTCGTTTAGCATATTTTAACATCACAAAGGTGAGTCGATAGATCCACACTGCCATTATAGCCACAATTTCACGAGAATGAAAGAATAATACGTCCAAAAAACATTTCAGGTACCAGAACAGCAAGGAACATGTGACTGTACTGAAAACGTAGAAAAAAATGCACTGAAAAAACAAAGGTAAACAAAAACTTAAAATTTAATGAATTGCTAAAAAAATAGATATTTCCTGCCCTCAACCACTTTAAAATGAACAAAAAAGAATAACACAAAATGAACATGAGAACACTCAGGTTCAGATCTGTTTAGTTTCCATGGCAGCGCTTCTCCAGCAACTGAAAAGGCAGCGTTTCTAAGCTCTCCCATGTTTTCTTTGCTCTTAAACGTAGATGTATGCTAGGATTCATACAGTATTTCAAAACTAAAGTCACAAATGATAAAAATCCTGACCAAACCTTCAAAAGGGTCCTAGCAGAAGTTGCAATACACTGGTCTGTGTTAGGGCTTATTTTTTTTGTTTGCATTTAGTCCTATATGCATATGATCCTCATTATGAGCAGGTTTAAATGCTTGGTCAGTTGAAATGAGAGCACCATGGGAGAGAAATGGAAGGGGAGGGGGCATGGAGATTAGAATACTGTAAGAAAATCCCAGGTGTGCCCAGTATCACACTCCATCCCTGCAGCAAAAGGGGGTCAGGGGACAGAGAGACTGAGGGGTCTGGTGCCTCTTCCCTGAGCCCACATCTGAACAGGTGATGGACGACTCTTCCACCAGCATTCCTTTTCATTCAGTTTTGTCAAGTAGATGCCAAGAAGTAGCTCAGTGCTTTTCTTTTTTATTAGTTTCCATGATTTTATGTCTTTTTTTTAAAATAGCTCTCAGTGAAGGAGCAGACTGGTAGTTGAAAAAGGTTTCAGGTAGGTTTGTGTGTTTTCGTTTCGTCCTGCACCCTTGTCTCTTCGCTCTCTCCCCTTTGAAGCAGTGGTTCTTCCTGATCAATGGTCAGAGGATTTATTCATACTCAAGGAACTGTTTATGGTAGAATAAGAGATACCTGTGAGGGGAAAAACAAGATCAGACTTAGATTATATTCATCCAATTTAGATTTCTGCTAAGGTCCATATTTGGTTCTTACCCCTCGCTATCAAGTACATCCTTAATGCTGGCCTTGGTGATAATGGCATCGTCACATTTGAACCACTGGTCTTTGTGTTGACGGATGAAGCTAGTGTAGTGGCCGCTCTCCAATGTGCCTTGGTGATTGACCACAGCAAACAAGGAATACCTGAAAACATAAAGGTGTTTATTGACATACGTTTTACCAATCAGGAATATAAGATCTGAATTTGTCTCCGTAAACTGCCTTAATATTATGTTGTAAATTGGTGATATGTTAAAAAAACAAAAAAAACAAAAACAATTCTGTCATCTAGTAGTGCAAACTGATAGAATTTAAGAAGACTCTTGGATAGGTGTTGAAACATCTGGTTGGCTTCCAATTTAAGCTGTTATGTAGTTGTGAGCAGGCAATTTATAGAATAAAACTGCTTATCAACCTATATAACCTGTGCAATTAGACAAAAAGAATATTTGCACATCTCCATTCGTCCACAACATGCAGTTTTGGTATTTTTTCCACGTAATTCTCCAATAAATTTTGTGGAAACTAGATGCTACAGTAGCTGCTATGGACGAGGAAAACTAAGAAGCCTAATTATACTAAGTTATAGCCAGATGCTTCAAGTCTTTAGCATTTATTGCTAAGCAAAAGTTAATAAAGTTCCGCGATCACAATGTTGCTTTTGAATTGCTGAAAGCAAAAGGTTTATAAATGAATTTTTTCCCTATATGCTACAACATAGGTACTCACTTATTGTCGTTGTTCAATATGTCCACTGACTGTTGATACTGCCCATTCATTCTGCTCTCTTTACTGTGGATAAGAAAAACATCACATACTGGTTTTATTAGAGAATATAAATCCACTAGGTGGCAGAATAGGACAATTTATGATTTCTATGTTTCCTAAATTTCAGACATTTTCAGACTAAATGTAAGATACTTAATTCGATTTGGCGTTTTAGTTATTTTTCTGTTATAGATCATGTAAAACTAATGCTGTACTGATTTCAGTCATTATTCTCAGATGTAATTATAGATGTATACAGATGTATTTCCATGTGTCCCTCCGAGACCACTTTGTTCTTTAAATTGAAACAACTTTTATACATAGTTGCAAATAAAATTTTAGCATTGCCATTTGTAAAATTCTATTTAAACCAGCTAACTGTTAGTTTTACTGGTAAATGCACTATGCCATACCCAACACCACCAAACGTCCCCTATGGGACTATTGGTCTGAAGCAGAGCATGAGTAATGCGTCCGTTCTGAAATTGTAATGTTAAGGACATTTTTATTTTTTTATATAATGCTTGAAGTAAGACAACTTGCTTCCATTATCTACAATACAATCCATGCTAGTCTTCTATTTACAAGTTTCAGTTAACTTATTTTAATACATAAAGTAGGACAAAACATTAACCAGAGTAGGAGGATGTATTATTATTGATTAATGTTTTTTAAAACCTCTAAGTTTTGCATTGCATTTAAAAAGACCTTATGGTAGGCCACAAACAATCTTTAGAAAAAAAGTTCAAAGAAAATTCATCTGATTGCACTTCTCTCAATTAAAGCAACCTTTTTATTAAAAAGGGGCTTTTCCAAAATAAAAATTTTAGCTTTTTTTAATCAGCAATATATTATTTTGAAAGAACATCTACAGGTCATTCTTAATTGGTAACAACTTTGTTTTCAATATCACATAGTAAGATTTCAAGCTAGTGTTTGGATTCAGTTAAATATAGACAATATGTCAAAAAAATTATATGTAAGCAATTCTCCTTGTGAAAAGAAGGTTTTAAAATTTTAAATCTGACTAATTAACTAAATTATCTGACTATTTTAAGGCATCAAGTGTTCAATTCTTAGTTCGATTTATTAATTTTGATCCAGAAATCATGGCAGTGGTGCTGGAAAGCTGTTCAAACTGAAAACATCCATTTTAGGCCAGTATATTATAATTACAGTTTATACCCAGAATTATCCATTTATCTAAGACAATTTCTTCCCAATTAGGGAAATAACCCGTATGTGGCTTTTTAAGGAATAAAAACATCAAAAGAGTTTTACGGTAAGAAGATTCCTTCTTAGCTTTCATACATAGATTAATTATATTTACTGTATAGACTGTTTAAAGCTATTTTTTTATATTTATAAAGAATTTTTACTCAGTTATACATTCATACAGACTTGAACCAGTACAGAACTTCTGCTGTTAGCTGAAGTATTTATTAGACCCAAAATAGTATATATAAGGGAACAACATTTTTGACTTATAGTCACAGCCATAGACCAATCACTGGTGCAGCTTTAGTAAAAAAAAAAAAAACAAATTTCAAGTATTACCTGGATGCCATGAAAGGTGTCATGTCCAGCTCTAAAGGGAAGGAAACATATGTAGTGATCTTCCGCCGCAATTTAGCAGAATGCTCAAACCGCTGTAGGGGGGGTCCAGAGAGGAGTGATAAGGAAAAAGGTTAAAAGAAGGGAGGGATGGGAAAGGAAGCAAAGGTAAAATTAAAGCAACACTTTATAATAAATACAATTTATATGTTTTCAACCTTGATTTAACAATGTGAATATGCTCAAAGGCTTTTACAGTGTGTTCAAATGAATACCATGAATATCATTATTTATGTCTCTAGCTCCATGTAATAAATAAAACATGGGGAGTGGATTTGTTAGATTGAGGGAGATACTGGGACTAAACATTAAAGCACTAAAACAGCAGGAGGTAAAGCAACAACAGCTACATGGACTAAAAAACACACCGATGCACTAAAACTCTAAACCGCTTGTACAGATAAAAGAATAAATATGCTTATAATAAGGCTTCTGTGTAGAGTGCATCAACTGTTTCAGAGTGAAGACCTACAGCTTTACAATAACAAACTGGTAGCGCTTTGCTACTGACTCACTTTGAGATGAAAACATGCTACAATGGGGAGCTTTTTCATTGTCAGCTGTTTGGTGGACTCCTGGTAACTATGGCAACCCCCACACTTGATTTTGGCACTGCTTCCAAGATGCTCAGGCCGTGTAAACCTGCAGACCAGAGGACAGCATTTATAGCAAACCGTAATTCTGTGTGGTTACAGATCTCACAGCGAACACCCTTGGCTTTTATCATTAATTTGGATGGAGGTTTCGTTTGATCTCAGTTGAGTAAGCGCAACAGCTTCAGCCTGCTCTGTACCTTTAAGAGACTTGCTGCAGCAAGTAGGGGTGTGTGAGGTGCTGCAGTGAAAAAAAATAGAAGGCGAGAAAAAAAAGAAAAAGAGAGTTGGGGGTGAAACAAATGGAAGAGGTAGAGATTGAGGGCATGGGGGGAAAGGAATTAGGTAGAGAGGCAGGGAAATGAAATAAGATGAGGGAAAGTGAAAAAGAAATTGCCAAACGAGGAGGTTGCAGTGGAGAATTTGCGAGGTCACACCTGCTCTGTCAACCAGGTGATGAGACAAGAGGAGAACCAAGCATAACAGGGTTGTTGGGATTGAGCAGACACCATATGTGACCCTTTATACAAGTGGGAGGGGGGGGGGGGGGGGGCGTGTGGTGTCTGAAACAGACTAAGTGAGATAACACATATGTATCTTTTTGTTTCTTCTTTTAATCCAAATCAAGGATAAGCAGGATTACTGTTCCAGTTTGACAGAAAAGATACAAAAAACCAATAGAAGCAATAGAGATCACTGGTAGAGATACACTGAACTCAGCTTTCAGGATTAATAACATTTCTTGTCTGACAAATAAAACCAAAAGTTCTATATCCAAGAGAAAAAGTTTAACAATGCATCTCAAAAAACATTTTTCTTTTTTGTCAAAACACAAAGATTCAAAGGTGTTCATGTATATACCTATATATTTTCATGCATTAAAAGAAGGAGGGAAAGCCTTTAATTGTTTTGTTTTATTTAATCTCTGGCCAGTTGAGTGGTTTATCCTTTAATCATTACCATTTGATCTCAGAGTTTGGGGGAAAATACACCATCATTCCATGTTGCCACTGGTTTATAGTATTGCTTAAGTTTCCCTTTTCAGTTGAGCTAAAACACTTATCCTGTTTATGCAACCGCGTAAACCTGGGACTCAATGGTCCTACAGTATGTTGGATAACATGGCAGGGAACTAAGTTAACAATACTGACTCAAACCAATGATAATATTCAATGCATACTTTTGCATACATTTCTTTAGAACAATTTTTGTCATAGCAATAAAAGCAGTGGTAATATAATTGTGGATAGTAATATTATTAACAGCAGATGCCAAGAGACTTTTCACCAGACAAACAAATTTACCTATAATTTACTAATAGATGCATCATGATTTTTCCATTATGTATAAGAGTTACTTTTAAACTTATCTTAAAAAAGAAATAACAGTAAAGTCAAAATAGAGTGGTGGAGACAAGCTTGTACCTGCGTAGGCAGTCTGTGAGTGTGGTGGATCCTGACAGGTGGCTCTCGCCGTTGACTGTGCCGCTGTCCCCTCCGGGGCTCAGAGGCCAAAAAGGCGTAGATGAACCTGGCAAATCCAAACTGATGTCCCAAAATGGATCTATGGTTGTTGAAACCCCACTTTAGAAAAAAAGAGCAGAAAGAGAGGTTAGTCCAGGATGAAGATTAAGTGGAAAGTGCTTTTCTGTTGGCCTGTTTGTCACATACTGCAGGTGATGAAAGGATGATGACATAAGCTGCAATGCACAAGTTTTAACTCTGCCATTCCTTCGATTTAGAAATTTTTTTTGTTTTAACCTTGGGTGTGGAAACCTGTGTCTGTACATAATATCCAAGCTGATATTACAAGATAAGGTTACAAAGAGAATAGGCTTTTTGAAATCTATAGCCTTTCAACACAATGGCAATTAAGGACTGTAGACTGTGGCCCACACTGGCTTATATGCATAAATACATAGTGTAAGAGAAGACTTACTGCACATTACCAAGGCTGTTGAGATGAGTCACTATTTTCTAATACTCAAAGGGTACCAGTGGGAGACCAATAAATCAAATCGGTAAGCATTTATGATGATGGGAGTGCCACCCTGCAGTAACCTGGCACCATTAGGTTTCCTCCCTCCTTCAAAGAGCTCATGCATTCTTTTCCTTAATCATTTATCCACTTATAGTCTTTAAGCAGCAAACCTCTTCAGAAAATGTTCAAACAGATAATGCAGGTATTACAATAGGCAAGGTTTGCCTGCTAGTTTGGCTAGGTGCTTTACAATTCAGTGCAGTGTGCATGTGTTAATGCGACAGGACAGCTCTAGGGGGCAGGCAGGCAGCGCTTCAATTGTGCTGCTGTCTAGACAACCCCCATTAAAGAAGCTCTGCAGGGACCGGGCTCTTTGAATAGGAGAAGGAGAGCCACATGGTTAAACACCATCTGAAAACAGACAGCCTACATTTTGATCTACCCGTGGGCGAAGGGTAGGTAAAGATAGATGGATGAGTAAATAAAAGGGAATGAAAACTCTTTGTTTAAATTGCCACCAACAAGTCTTACAAACTTACTGGCAAACCTGACAGGTAACATCAGATTGTAGGCCCCCAGTAAAGATTTGGTCAATGATGCAGTTACAGTGATTTGGATTGTTGGTCTTCTTCCCGTTGTCGTCTCCTGCACGGAAAAAAGACTGATGTTAAAACACACAAACGCAAAGAGGACAATCTGGAAAACCAGTTGCCCTTTTTCCACAACTAGATGTAAGCTTTGCTACATTAACACTATTGGGTTCTCTCTCTTCTGTACGTTTGCAGTAAGTTCAGATATAAAAGATTTATAAAATTTTTTTCCAACTGAGTATACCTTTTCACTTGGTGGAATGGTCAGAGTGTTATGCGCAAAGCTTACTTATTGTGTCTCCTTTGCAGTGCCGATGTAGAACATCCAACGCTGCAATAAGGAACTCGTGGGCATCCTGCTGCTCATAACCTGCGAGGTGCCGTGCGTGAGTCCAAACCAGGTGCAGCAGGCGGAAGGGAATGTGCGGTGAACGGTGACCCGAGTAGAACTGAAGATACAAAGGAAAATTTTACAGGGCTATGCAAAAATGTGTCTTTCACCCCATACCGTTTCTCAGGTTACAAATTAAAACACTGTATTATTATGATTGGGCTCAAATGTGAGAGAACATTAACTATATAACCATAAAGATGAAGGAAAAGGCGGCAAGGTTTTAAGACCAGAGACATATGGCAAGAATTACTTTGAGGGTCCAAATTAAGATGCGATGTAAAATCATCTTGTGCTGCACTACAAGTTGCCAGTCTTTTAAAGTAGGAGTCCCCAAAAAAACCTGTCCCTAAGCTGTTAATCCATCAAGAACGATAAGTTGTGAACCCAGTGGTATTGACATGTAGACAGTAAAAAAGCTTTGACAATAAAAAACATCTTTACTGGCAGGTTGCAGAAATGAGCAGACAGAGAAGCCTCTAATGGTCGTGTCCAGCAGTAATATACAGCTGCTGAGGCTGTTATACGATTTCATTTATTGTCCCTGATCCATTAGAATACATTAATGTGCTTTGATTTAAAGCAGGCCATTTCATCTCTAGTTATAGAGCTTAAGTTGTTGCTCCAGTATAAAGTCATTTGCAGCTTCTAACAGGTTCACCTCCATTTATATTTTCCAGCTTCTTATTAGCTCATACACGCTTTCCCAACCTCGCTGAGGGAAAAACATCCCACAGCATGATGCCCCCACCATCATGTTTAACACTCGGGATGGTGTTTTATTGGAACTGAACATGAAAGCATCTCTAAAACATTATCAGCTTTGTCTAATCAAAGATGCCTCAGGTCTAAATATTAACAGCACTTATAATTTATTGATAAATACAATAAACAGCACAAATGTCCTATTATTGTGCAAATAATTAATTTGGTGTATAATTATAAATTATACATTTGGGGGTAAAAAGTTGCAATCATCAAACAGAATTAAGGGTTTTAAGATGTCTTAGGAAGTGGACTGTATTGCACTCCACCTTATGCCGGGCATACACTGGGCACTTACTGGCCGCCGCAGACAAAGGTGAGGGGTATTGAAAAAAAAATCTGTGGTCTAACTTTGCACAGTAAGGCAGGTTCTACGATGGCCGTGTTTAACATCTTGCAGTCACAGATAACTTGCAATGGTTTTCTGACTGTGTCTGACATTCATAATTTGTCTGCAACTAGGGTTGTCACGATACTAAACTTTTCAACTCGATACCGATACTAAGGAAAATATTCGATACTCGATACCATTTTCGATACCACAAGGATAAAAACAAAGACTCCAAAATTCAACAGAAATATTTTCATTAATAAATAAAATACAATAAATAAACACAATAAAGGTTGTATGCTGTGCATAATATTAAGCAAGCTTGATAAAAAACTTATAAAATTCAAATTAAGTGTTCCTTCCTTGGCTATGCTTTGCACACATAACAATGACACTAGCCAAACCAGTTAAGAAACAAAAAAAATTCTCAGCAGCTGCACCTCTTACAAAAAAAAAGTCTGAAACTGAAAAGAGCACAGAATTATTCAATCACACAGTGTTCAGAAAGTGCATTGTCCTCTATTCTGCACTTTAGATGAATGACTGCTTAGGTGCCACTGGTGACGGCACTGTATCGATACTTTTAAAAACGAGTATTGTATCCGGATACAAAATTTTAGTATCGATACTTTTTTGAGTTTCGATACTTTTGACAACCCTATCTGCAACTAACGATTACTTTGATTATCGATTAATTTGTCGATTATTTTTTTCCATAAATCGATTAATAACTGGATGGCAAAAAGTTCCTTAAAGAAGATTTTTTACAGAATTAAACCAGGTGAAACTAAAACTTTTCCACTTGAGGAGTTCTGGATTAAGCATACTTGAAATACTAAAATTGTTTAGTTTTTTTTGTCTTAAATGCAAAATATTTATATATTTTTTGACAATGCTTTTTATAATTAATGTTTTAAGTGGGTTGCTGTTTCAGCTAAAGGCATGTTTTAGAGTCTTTATACTCCAGTTAACAATCGATCACTAAATTAGTTGAAATTTATTTCAATAATCACGACAAACCTGATTAATTGTTTAAGCCCCTTTAATAATAACAATCCCACAGTGCGACAACTACTATGACATGCCACGACTAAATAACCAATAGGAATGCGACTGCTGCTGGAAATGTGCCACATTAAGATCAAATAGAGAAAATGAACACAAAGTGATCTTTCCAAGAGTTTTATGATTCAAAGAAAAATATGCAGAAAAGCATCAGCCCAAATATCACATGCTAATTCTAAAAGTATACCAGTAAACTTTAAAAACTGCTAATGAATAAGAAGCCTAATAAATGTAAAGTTAACACATTAGCCATCTTTAAGTACTACCTTTGACTGTCTTCACTTATTAATATAAAATTAAAATATTTCAGTTTCATTGCATGCAATATAAATACAAAGATGTAATTTTTTTTATCCAATATGAGAATCCTCTGCAACCACGGTAACGTAAATAAGGGGGAAAGTTTTGGCAGGTCGAGCAAGAAACACTCAGGAGACTCCAAACGATTTCCCACATAACAAAGAAAAAGTAAAACTAATATGTTTCAGATTTCTGAATCACTTTCTGTTGTGGAAGACCTGTCCTGTTTGCTCCAACTGGATCAAACTGTGACATGAAGCATTAACTCCTGCAGCAACCTCAGATTATATGGCAGTCACAAACGAGAGGGTTATTTTATACCTATTCTCTGATTGTAGGCTAGACTGATAAAAAAGAAACTCCCTGTTATTATATCTTTTTAGGGCCTGGAGTGGAATTTGATGCAATGAATATTGAAAGGCTTTTTGCATCTAATTTTTCCGTCAAACTCTCAGTAAACCACCTTCCCAAGTTGGTCTCTTTTCCTCAAACCCGAGTGAATCCAAAATCTTCTGTTTTCAGATTTGTTTGCGAGGCGCACACACTCTTAACGCTAATAGTTGCTAATCTAGTGAATAAACAGTGATCGCACAATGTGCACACATTATATATGATGTTGTCCCAAATATGAATTATTCCACGTTGTATAGTGTGCCATGCAATAGATAATAATAATAGGAAAAATCAAACCCTGTAGGAAGCACATAAGGGTATAAGGAAACAAAAAAAGGTTTGAGAACCAAGTGGAAAGTTTGGAATGAAATAGAGCAAAGGAAGCTCAATATTCTCATTTTTCAACTCTTAGATGTTTTAAATACAGCTCTCTTCTTTATGATTTCTTAATTGGAACTGGCTTGTATAGGAAAAATGAAACCATACTGACACATCATTACAGATATTTTAAAGTCCACTTCATTTTTTGCAGTTAAACAGTAGTAAAGTAAACCAAAAATTATAATATAGCAAGCTCAAAATGTGTCAAGCTTCTTTACATTTGTGAGTAACGAGTCACACAACATTGAGTTTCGATCTGTTATATAAAATATACATTAGATTAAAATCCGAACATAAAAGGGTATTAATGCTCACATTTTATAATAATCTATTAAAGGTTTTCTATCCGCGCCTCTCTTCTATGTACTTAATAACATATCAACTGAGACTTGAGCTCTGCTAGTCTGTGTTGTTAAAGGTGTTGGGGGTGGAGAATCAACTCAACACATTAGAGCTCCACTCGCCATCTGTGGGCCTGTATGTATGCTGCAAAGAGAGAAGATGTAGGAAGACAGTGAGGCAGTGTGGGAGCAGTCAGGCTCCTATTACGCAACAGTTTGAGATGATAAAAGAAGGAATATTTTGAGGAAAAACTACATGACATTCAATTACTAATCTGGTACAACAAAAAGCCTTCAACAATGCTTCCTCTTCATTCATTTTAGTGCCTCTGTACATTCCTCTTAACAAGGATATTATCCTCCTCTCCAGGTTTTGTGACTCAGTCTTTTGCAGCAGATTACACTCGAGGGGAGGAAATCTGCACTGCACAGTTATTATAACCAACTGACTATAGCCATGTGTTATTTTCTACCTCATAATTGTTTATACCTTAATTTCACTGAAAGCATCCTAAAAACAAGCTAGCATCATACCTCCTGAAAAAGCTGCGACATCTCACACACCAGACAGGAGTTTGATTGCATCTCGCACTTGTGTCTGTCAGAGAGAAAAAAGTCTCGCAGCAGCGGCGTGTGAGTTAGGGCTTGGACGATACAGTTCATGAAACACGTGTTGCCCAGGTTTATTAGCCCTCGTAAACCTGCAGGATGAGAAGACAGTAGAAGTGTGAGAACATCATAAGAGGAAGAATGCACATATCCTGCTTTCAAATGAATGAAACTTCTAGCCAGAAAGAACTGATTTATTATACAGGTAAATATTTAGCTCACTGTGGTAAAGGACTATTTCACAGTTTTGTTGGCATCCAGGCAATCTTATACGAATTGTGTTGAAATCAGTAACCATCAGAGCATCTGTGCCCCCCGAAAAAAAAACAAAACAATAACTTTTCATATTTCAAATCAATTTGATTCATGGCATGAGAATAAACATAACTTTGGTGGAGATGTGGAAGCCAGCAATATGTGAGAGTCCGGAGAAGAAGCTGAGAACCGATTCATTTATAAAATGCTCTACTGTTGGCTGGTTGAACAGGTGGAACACAGCCACGGCCTGGGTGTGATCCAAACCGAGCAAGGTTTAGTACTGGAAGAGGGTGCTCAGTGAGAGATTAAACACTCTAGACTGGTTTTGGCATGCTAACACGGAGAACACACAATTTATCAGTCAGTTGGACAGACCAGTTAATCTGTCTGAAGATCTGATGGCATAAAAGGTCCAAACAGATAAAACAGGGAGCGCCAAAGTACAAGAAGGCAACATATTGCTAAAAAACAACAGTTTGAGTGAATACGAGATGAAACAAAGCTTGTGATGGGCATCTATCTCCGTGGCAACAACATGTTCTTCATCTCGCTGCACTCTGCCTGTGGGGCTGCTCTGTGCAGCTGACCTTGAGTATCACACTTAAATGCAACACTAACCTCAAGCACACTTGAACAAAAGTACAAAAAGCAGGAACATACACAACTGTCAAAAGATGAAAAACTGTTTTGATTAAGACATAAGGGCTGAACTGTGTACTCTATTGCCTACCTATGGTACAGTTGGTAGTGATTTTCCTTCGCTTTGGATTGTGTCGTAATAACTCTAGCTCTCTCTTAGTGGGCTCCCACGTTGTGTATTTCTCCCCAATTCCTGTTATATACAAAAGAAATGAAAATGTAACTACAGAGAGTTATCAGAAGAGATGAATTAAAAACATGTCATTAATTCAGTTCGAGACAAAGCAGAAGGCTATACCTTGCAATTTCCAGGCTTTCCTCTGTTCCTCTTTGGCAATCTGTTCCAAGTCTTTGTCGTATATGTAGTCTTGACACACAAAACAGTATATTCCACCATATAATAAGTCTATTGCTGGAAGGGGGAAAGAAAAAGGCTGGTTGAAATATAAATAAGTTCTTACAAATGTATGTTTGTAGGTTTGGGTCACTTTCATTTTCGTATTTTATTGGTTTACCACAGTTGTTCAAAGTAAGAGATAAAAAAAAAAATCCTATAAATCTGTCTGAATCCTTTGAAATCCACTTAATGGAATGCAAGGTCTATTTAGTCAATGATTATAATAAATAAAAAAAAACTTAAAAATTATAGCTCATTTTATAAGCTGCACTAAAACTTGGGGCTACTATTAACTGTGGTCCCATTCTTCTTCTATGTTTTGATCATATTTTTTTCTCAGATGGAGATCTAAATATTTTCCTCTTGCTAGTTTTTCATACCATGTCCTACATCATGATAAATATAATTCAGTTACTTTAAAGGAAGATTCAACATGAAGTAATCAGGTAAAACCTTATGATTAGGGCTTCAAATGCACTGAATACACTTCCTTTTAAAAGAGGCACAGTTTTAAGCGTGATCTTAGTATTAACCAAAACAATCATAATAAGCGTTACCAAAGTAAAGATCTACAAACTGAACTTTCAAAACTTTCAAAATCATATACTGCATAAACTAATCTAAACCCAAGTAAAGCAGAAAATAGCTTAAGTATATTTGCCTTTCATTTGATCAGGTAAATAAGATGTTCTGCTAATGGATTGAGTATTGTTACTCTTAAAAATGAGGTAATAAGATATTAGGCACTTGAAATAAGATGATGGAGAGGCTTTTTCTTATTTCAAACTGAAATTATTTTTGTTTAATTGCCTAATTGTCATACCTGCTTCAATCAATTATTTAAAATAGTTTTTTCAAGAAAAAAAAATGGCTTTCACATATATTCTAATTTTTGCAATGTAGCTACTAACTTTAGAAGGTGGTAATTATATATTTTTATGTTTCAAAGCTGTAGGAAAATTTAAAAATGTTAAAATTCTAAATATTTTTTCTTCTCCAATTAAAATAAAAGAAGATCATGCTAATTTTTTTCTTTTTTAAAATGTGTTTTAATGCCACAAAACTGGTCAAAGTTATACCATCAGAATCTAATTGTGATCAATTTATCACAGACCGAGTAACTATGCAACTGAAGTGTTCAAGGCACATTTCTTTCACCTCTCCCACCCATGCACTAACACATACGCCACCATCTTCTATCCTCCAAGTCCACAGCAACAATACCTCAGCTCTGTTGCCGTGACAACCTATATTTAGTTTAACTGGACGCATTTCTGTTTTTGGCGCTACCCACACTGTAAAAGTAAGCTTCAGCATTATTCATAAACCTTAAAAAAAGGGGCAGAAATTTTTAGATTTAAGATAGAGGAAAAAGGGAATACCGCAGTGAAGAGGGGAGAATATATTGACTGAAAGACCTTCACTGATATAGACAGAAATCAATTACTTTCCTCACCTGAGTGAAGCATAAGAACAGTGAATGAAAAGATGGGGAGATGAGAGGGAAGAGAAAGTAGACATGAAAAGAGAAGAAGGTCTGAAGAGATCTAAGAGTGAGAATGTTTAGAACAAACAGGTTAAAACAGCATTAAAAGGAGCCCTGAGGGTGAAGCTTGCCATTCAACCGTTTAGCACGCTCGGGAGTTTGGACTAATTTGATTTGAAGCAGTGATGAGCAGAGAGCCAATGTCAGAACAGCTCCTGTATAGCTCAAAGCTAATTAATACTTTACTCCTTCACTTGGGTGTCTTTAACCAAAGAGTTGAGTTTAATTAAGTTTTTAAGCTTTTTAAGGGATCAAGGATTAGTTGTAAAAATAAACTTTATTTGCAAAATATCTATTCTCAATGTAAATACTGTACAATAAAATACTGTAAGCTGTTTAGTTTTAATAAAGCAAAATATTACATGGACGTCGGCATTTTTATGCTTTAATGCATTCTGGGTAACAGATATATGGTATGTCCTGTTGCACTAGCGCTGTTCAGCCAAAACAGTAATATGCAACATTAGACCTTTTCAATTTGAAGTGGAGCATGTAAGCATTTATGACAATATAAAAATCACAAGTGGTAATGCAGATGAGAAAAAAAAAGGAGGAAAAGTTGAGCGTTACCCAAAGAAGTTAGTGATTATGCGGCTGCTGCTAGGAGATGCTAAACCCAGCTGGACCGCTTTGCTACAAAGAGCTAGTTTCTAACTGAAGCTGTTCACGGTAAGCATTGGGATCAAATCATTTTCTTCAAGTCGTAGGGAAACTGCTGCTCCAACCGTTGCATTTCCGAATTCTCCCCGAGTGGTGCACGAGTGAACATGAGTGAATATATTGAATGTGATTGGTCATTTATCAAGAGGGCGGGATTGTTGTGGCAGAAGGTTTGCAAGCAAGTTTGATTGTGGCCAGTTTGTCGGAAGCATCTCGCTAACCAGTTAGCAACTTAGTGCTAGTAGGTTCCCAAGCAGAAGCTTCCTTTGGTGTAGAAGGCTTATGTACATCTTTGAGCCCTTGCTTAGCAACACTGCCAGTTCTGTTAGCTCTACGCCTGCTGAAGACACAAATGTCCATCCCCGTGAACACTGGGACAGAACTCAAAAGGTAAAGTAAAGAACTCCTATTTCTTATTTCAACCATTGAATATATTAGCCGAGACATATGAATTAAGATGCTATGACCGTAAAAAATAGACAGCTGACCATGGATATATAATTGGCCGAATTTAGGTGTACACGGACGACATCCGTGGTTGAAAAATATAAAAAAGAAAATATAATTTATTTAGGTAATAATGAGTTTTTTAATTATACATATCACTTTTTAAGTTAGACCAATCTATTTTTTTTACTGATCCAAACCGATACATGGGCTGAGAATATTGACCAATATCCGATATAGATCCAATATAACTGTTTACTGAAATAACTTTATATCCTGCTATGTGAGTAAAGGCATCATGCTCGACAAAGATTTTTAAGATTTTTAAACAAAGAAAGATTTTTAACAAAGGTAAAAAATGAACAGATATAAATCATCATTAGCTATTGTGTTCGCTCTGCATGATAGCGTAATCAGCTTTGCAGTCATAAAATTGAAGTCACTAGATCGCTCTAACTGTATTGCTGTATATATCAATAAAAATAGAAATGAATGGATGTAAATACTGACTAGGCATCATTTATGTGATATCCGATCCAGCAAATAAGTGAATAGGGCAGCTGATATCCAAGTATTAGATCAGTCCCTCTATAAATTTATACAACACACACAATCATCAACGCAGGGCTATATTTTGCAATCCTTATGGGGACTATGTCATGACTTCCATTCATTTCTATTAACTAACTGAAACCCTTACCCTAACCACACCCATTCCAATACAAATCTAGATATAACTCAACAACTTAGTCCCCAACCTGTTTCTCATGGGAAACACTTGACAGGTTCATATTAGGACATGTAGGTCCCCATAGGACATGTAGGTCCCCATAATGTAGCATATTATGGATACCATAGAATTTGGCCTTATACTGTCCCTGTGAGGTAACCAAAAAACATCCCCACACACAGATCAAATTTACAGTAGATGGGCAACATTTCTGTAATGCACGATAAGTCGTTCTCAAAAGAGTGGTAAAATAAAGACCGCTTTTTGTATTGTGGTGCTAAGGTAGTTTTTAAAATTAATAGATGAGGCTTAGAACCTTTATATAGACTACCTCCTTATGAATACCTATTGACTTTAAGTTCAGATTGCTGCTGATGACTAATGTACATATCAATAAATTAGAAAATATTTCAAAAGTTCATGTATTTTAGTAGAAAAAAATAAAATTTATAGTAAAGATTCATGTGAAAGTAGTTACTAACAGAAAGGACAACTATAAAATATACTGGGATGCAATACCAGTTCTGAAACAATGGGGTACTTACCTAGATTGTGTCTTTTGTTTTTTGCGTGTTCGTGAATGTGTTTCTTTGTAAAACAGCCAAAAAAGATGCAGTACAGACAAGAGTGGAGTCGATTCAGGTGGGCGCCACACATGTGACAGATACACGACTTGGCCTGTAAAAGAAATACATAAAAAAACAGGGAGGATGGGGGTTTTGGTGAAGACAAGAGAGAGAAGCTAGTGAGTGAGAGAGAAGAAGGAGATAACAGAACACTCATGGTGAGTGGGAAGTATACAGAGACAAACTCTTTGCCAGCTGAAACAGATTTCTATTTTCCAGTTGCTCCACTAAACACTTCAGAGAACACATTGCTTGAATAAACCTGACATAAAAGCAGACTGATGGCTGCTCTGTCTGTTGACAAATCAAATACAGTCGAAAAACAACATATTTCCACGTAGGATCCTTAACACACACAGGCGATGATGGGATTTACTGTTTGGCAAGCGCACTGGAAGAGACGAGCAAAATTTGTCTGAGGCACACAGGCAAAACATCAGCAGTAGCTGTGTGCCATTGCTTTGGTTTATATTTTTGAAGCAACCTGCAAAACTGTGCATCTGAATGCTGGATGAGCTGCCACTAGAACTATAATTTCTGGACATTTTAGAACTTGATAATGCATTTTTTTTCTTAACAGGATTAGTCTTTGGGAATGAACAAAAAATGCAACAGCTGAAGCTTTCCTTTACGGGCATTTAAAATGCAACATCAATATGTACTGCAGAATAATCTGGACTAAAATACAAGTTTTAATTAACGTACACTTGATTATATGCATGTATCCTTGTCTGAATCTCCTGCACATAAAATACAGTTCAATAGTGGAAGAAGTGAGACCACACCCTCTAAAGGACATATTCATTCCACTATTATCAGCAAAGGTAATTTTTTAGAAACTTGGACTACAGGAGCCTCAAATCTGATTAATAACTTCATAGTAGTTATTGATGGAATATTCATTGTATTCTATGATTTTATATCTGGTACGAAGCACCTAAAAACGTACAAATAAGATGAATAGCTAGCTAATATGTCAAATGCTAACTATAAGCCACAGGTTGATCAATTTACTGGCGATAAAACAGGTTGTCCCACAATATCACCACTACGCAGATGGAATTATAGAACAGTTTATCATTTATTTATTTTGAGGCTTATGACATGACTGGGCGAGTGTTACAGAAGGGAAGGAAGGGAAAACCGAGAATTAGATTGAGACAGTGCTCACAGAACAGTGAATTTGGACAGGGCTTTTGTTCCGTTGCAGGCCCACAAACAAAAATAAAGAAGCAGACATGGTACCGGGATTTGGTCTAACCATCTTGACTTTAGAGATTGATTTTTAGCATGCCAAAATAGAACAAAGAGAGGTTGAATCATGTTTTACTAAACAGTCCTTTACAGCTAACTGGCTTGTATGAAAGGAACAATTTGAAGCGACAACGCTGCTGTGCACTAGTATAAAGTAGATTATGTACAATACTGGCCACCTGTTAAGATATTTGGTTGATATGCATCTACCAGATGCTTAGAGGGTGACAGCACTGTAGCTGTAGGGTGCGCAACTCGCAGAGGGAAGTCAGTGTTTACAACGGTGCTATTTTTAAAAGGTCATGTAGAGGGAACACAACACAAAAAGTACCGTACTTAGAGCTGCTTTAACTATGGCAGCATTGCAATCTCAAAAACGGACATTTTTTTTCAATCCATGAACAAACCATACCCAAGGACCAACAGGTTATGATGGAAATAATTAAGAATTGCAAGTGAACTCAGATCAGAGGAAGCAGAGACATGAGAGGGTTTTAGACAGAAACTGCATTTTCTACAGCTAAATGTCTGCTGTTATTTCAGGTGTCACTTAGACTTAATCTGAAAGTTGTACATTTTGAGCTTTGCAAAGTAGTAAATTAGAATCTGCTGCATTTTTGTTTTAGTCAACTTTTTTGTTCCAGGTTCTGACATTAATTTAAAGGTTAAATGTCTGAGGCTGAGGTTATCAAGACAGATTTGCGATGAGTCCAAAAAGAGTTATTTAAGACATTCACTTAGGATCTCTTCAATTTTTTTCCTCTTAAGGGTAGCTTAGATAGCAGAAGTGAAACAGGTAGATGCCAGTGTGAGAGCCTCACAGGTAAAATTTGAAGATCAGCAGATGTTTGTAATTTTTTTATCTATTAGTATGGGCTAAAACTGGAACAACTTATAATATTTGTTAGGGTCGGTGACAGTGATGCAGTAGTACTGTTAGGGTAGTGTATAAAGCAGAGAAGCAATAAAAGCAGTGTGGTTTTGTCATGCTGGTAACCCAAGGGTTGGGCATTATCCTTAAATATTTGTTATTAGCCATTAATACAATATTAATAATCTATAAGAGAATCAGTATCAAATCATATCAACCACCATAATGTATGGTTAAAATATCGCAAAAGGTCATTTCAGCACAAAAAAAGTGAAAGCAGTGATTATTAGTGTTCAAATAGTATTGGCTTTAAAATCTCATCTTAATTTATACATTTTTGAAAGAACACAGTTATTATATATGTATAAAAAATTGCTAATTATTTGGTAAATCATTATAAAATATTCAAATTTTTTGTTGTTCTGCTCTATAGAAAAGTAACAAAAATAGTATAAGATGTATAATAAGTTGTGTTTATAATGCTCATAACAATAAAACAAAAAATATATAGACCATCCACCATGATCATTAATGGAGTGAAAGAGTTCATGCTTATGCAATAGTCTGTTGAGTTGCGTTCAGTGAGAAGTGAGAGGTGAGAAAAATCTGAATTATTGATATCCTGCTATTGGATTTTTATTGAACACAGTTTTCAGCCATAGGGTGAAAGTACAAATGCAAGTAGAACAAAATGTAGACAAAAAAAAAAAAAAAAAGACTACATCACTGATGAAATAAGTATTTACATGTTACAAAGTAATGCACTCCAAAGAGGTAAGATTTTGTCAGTATTGTATAAGCTCTTTGAATATTTGTAAAATAAGAAGAGTGGGAATCCCTCGAGGGATTTCTAGTGTGTTATCAAACTCTAAAGAGGTTATTGTGGACAGTTTGTGGTGTAAACAGTTAACTACTGACCCACCTACATAAGCTAGCCAAACTAGTCTGCCCTCTATGCAACATTCAATGCTGTACTAAACAATAGTGCGTTTTCTATGCAGGTTTTATTTATAAAAGAAATAGGAAATATTTTTCCTGTGTCCACCTCTTCCTTGTATGCTAAAGCCTTAACAGGAGAAAATTAGCTCAGTAGAATAAGCAACATGGATCAAAAGTATTCCTCCAACTTTTATTGTCACCCGACTTTGACTGAGTGAATAAAATGACAAAAGTGTCATTACAACTGATTTAAAAAATCCACCTGAGAATCATTTAAAACTATTCCTCTAAGATTATTCATTACCATACTTTACTTATCCAAATTCTTCATATTCCTCTCTAATCCATCATATTTGGTGTTGTTTGCTTACTTTCATTACCATGTTAAATTAATGAGATTGCTGCTGTTAAATATTATATGCAAACAAAAGTTTTCAGTAGATTCTGACACATTTGCTGGACAGCTATTTAAAATAAGTGGATGTATGTGAGCAGTCTAAGACAACAATGTCTCATTTGTCCCCGTTAAACTCAAATCATGTCCTTTATGCAGCCTTTTTATGGTCATATCAGCTCTTAGACAGATATTTGGGCTCCCTTCTCTGTCCAGCCCATTTCAGTAAAAACCCAGTTTACACTGAAATTAGACTAATACACAGACTTTTAATGATGGCTGTGGAAACACATTTGCCTCCTTACTTGCACACTTATGCCCTTCAGACGCTGTCATGGACTCACCCTAAAGCTTAATATATCTGAACACATGCACTGCCAGCAGACAGAGATAGTTTTAAAAACCAGGGGTAAAGTGAGATGGTTAGGAAGGATTACCAAACTGTGTCTGTCTAGCTGTTTTTTTTTATTTATTTTTTTTATCTACCCTCTAAAACGCAGTGTTGCTGCTCCGGTATGCGTTAGCCCCCCGTTACGCAGCAGCAGGAGGATAGTTGCATCTTAAGGGGGGGAATATGAACATGCCAGCTTAATTAGCAGATACAATATAGGTGTGTCCACACCCCCCTTAAAAACTCCTGGTGAGCACACTGCATTGAATTCAACATTAACGTAACATGATAATATTATATCTATTGAAACTGGCAGAAACAATTTCCCAGTCGTGTCTGCATACGAGCTGAGCTGTAGCAGGCATGGATAGTAGACATGGATAGTAGACATGGATTGTGATAATACAGCAGTAAAGGCTATTCAAAAGAATTTGCAAAAATGTAACTTAGTTTTCAATGATATTTATCTACATATATGACTTGTATTAAGATAAAAAAGTGAATTGCTTAAATGGCAGAGAACATGACCTGTGTTTATCAAATTGAGAAAACATTGATACGCAAAATCCTAAATGAGCGCATTAGGTGCCTCTCTGTGCACCCTCCCAAAGCAGCTCGTCTACTTTCCCCTCGATGCACCACAAGTCCAACACATACACAAGCCAGTGAATGCCACGCCTTGCCCTCCTTTCCTCAGTCTCCTCTGCTTCCACACTTCCTCACAGAGCAGGACATCTATAGATCAGCCTTCTGCCCCCTACCATGGCCGATCCAGTCTTTTTCACTTTTAGCAGTCTTGCCGGGGGCCTTATAATGTTCTATTAGATCGCCTATTGATCAGCTGCTGGCTCAGATTACTGAGACCATTGCTGCACAGGTAGCAATCGTCTGTCCATATCACATCATCCTTTATCCAGCCTGCATCAACATTAAACATGAAATCTTCCTCAAGACCATAACTATTAAAAATGTTGGCCTCCTGGGCCATGTAACAGACTTGTTTATGCTTTTGTTTGTTTTTTATTTCAGCGGGATTATTAGACTTAAGTCGTTTTCTCAAAAGATTTTCTTTAGAGCTTCCTGTCACCAAATGATAGCCGCAACAAAGCATGGTTCTAGCACTATCATATTTCATTGGTGTGATGGCATGTTTAGAATGATCTATAGAGGTACTTTGCCACACACCATTCCGTTTATAGGCCA